CATTTATCATTTAGTTTCTAAGTTAACAATAATTATCACTCATTTTCAGGTAAAATTTTGTATGTTGATCTCAAAATCTTTCACATTAAAGAAATCAAAGTATAGAAAAATAAACCTTCTGCATTAACAAGGTTACTTTGTTCTTTCAAGTTTTATGCTTAATAATGTTGAAACATCATATAGGAATTTGATGTTCAAATGCATTTATGTATAGTATTTTAATTTTCACAAGTTAAAACTACAAAAAACAAAAACAGTTTCAGCACTGTATTCAAGTCAGTTTGATTCCTGTTTTTGGAAAGTGAATTTATTAAATCATGTTGGACTTATTAGTTGAAACTAATTTATTTTGAGGAAAAAAAAAATCTGGTTTTGTATTCAAATTTGAAAATCTTAAATTTACTATCAGGAAATTACAAATAATTAAGTCGGGAATTATTGAACTTGTTACTTTTATTATTCATGTGTAAACTGGATTTTGGTAAAGATGTGATTAAAATGGTCTTTACATTTTATTTATTTTGGAGAGAAAGAAATTGCCAAAATAGTATGTTGTAGGTATATATTCATTAAATAAATTCCTTTTAATATGCAACCTTTTTATATTTTCCTTCCAATGGAGCTGATGTTTAAATAAGCAAGATATTTTTAAAAAATATAACAATTTGGAAGTTTAATTTTTTCATGAGACAGTTAAATGCTTAAATGCATTGTCTCATGAGTTGCAAAATGCAACAATGGCATCACTTCAAAAAAGATTAGCCGGTTTTTTGGGGTTTTTTTTTACATTAAGAAATGCTTTTCTTTAGGTATTCTTTAAAATTTTCTTAGAAAAAATATAGCAGCTTTAACAATTTTTTGTGATATTCTTTAGATTGCGTTTAAAGTGTGAAATGAACTGATCTAAATAAAACATTAATTTTGACATTTAAAACAAACATTTAAAATTGTATAAGGATTGTGATATATGAAAGTTAAATGAATTTTATTGTGTATGCAAACAGGAAGTATTTAATGTTTGAAAAACTTTTTGGTATAATGGTAGAATTTCTGTTTATCAAAAAAGCTTGAAATAATGTGAATTGCTAACTTGAACCAATTTATAGTAATTGCCACGAGACAATTTCGTTTTTTCATGTTGTTAATTATTTAAAATAAAGAATTCATTCTGATGAGTCATTGCAATTTGTTTGCTCAGGTTATTGATTATAAGTTTGCAAGAATCTTACTATTTTAAAAAATTATTATCTATTATAAAAGTATGAAAAATAAATAAGTTGTTTATATTTTCATTTGTATGTTATTTTACTTTTTATAATTATCTTCAGTTTTTTTGTCATATAAAGTGTATTAAAGGAGATGTCTGCAAACCTTTTATTATATTTTATGGCATTTTTCAATTTCTAAATCCTGAAAAGAAAACTTGATAAATGTCCATATGCAAGTGGGTAACAATTGTTGTGTTTGCACCTCTCTCCCAGCATCCTTTTATTATGCATGTCTAGGTAACCAATTGCTTTTATTAAACCTAAGAACACAGCAGTAGTTGCATCCCCTCTCTTTTTCCCTACTTCCCCTCCCATTTTTTTTTTAAATATGAGGAGGGGGAGTAATTTTCTTTGCTTGCTTTTCTGCCTGCTTCAATGCCAATTTCTGCTTCACCTTTTCATGTAATTATTTTATTTATAAGAAATTTCCAGTTACAAAAAAAAAAAAAAAAAAAAAAAAACATAACTTTTTTTGCATCTTTATATTTATATATTGTGTGTGTAAATATATATATATATATATATATATATATATATATATATATATATATATATATATATATATATATATATAATTTAATTAACTTAATATAAATGTTATTTTTAGAATATACATGTATTTGAGTTGTAATTCTAGTTTTTTTTATTTTATTTTCTTAAACATTAGAATTAATAACAATAATAAAAAAAAATTAACTTTATAGTAATAAAAAATAACATTGGATAAAAAAATCCAAACATATCACTTTAAACATTATTTTTAGTGGATATCCATATTTGTGTAGATGTTCTGTTTATTTTTTAAAATTGTATATTTATTTTCATCTACCAGCCTGAATATTCGAGAAATCTTATTAAAGAAAGGAAAAAAAATGTGCCCTCTGTCAGGATTTGAGCATGTGCCCACTTCTGCAGAAGTCATCATTAGATACACCAGGCAAAAATAAATATACTATTTAAAAATAAATGGAGCATCTACTCAAATATGGATATGCACTAAAAATAATGTTTAAAGTGATAAAAATATGTTGGATTAATAACTAAAAAACCATTACTTCTTTTAAAGAGTATAATTTAAACAAGATTGTTAAAATTGAGTGTTATACATTATTGCACACACTTGAGGCAGTGCTGAAAAGTTCTCAGCACAACATACTTCCAAAAACCAGTATTTCAATGACTAAACATCAGAATACTGATTTGGGGAAGTGAGGCTAAAATCTTTTTAGCACCCCCATCACCTATATGCCTATTTGTCTCTTCATGTAATTTTTATCTTTATTCTGTGTAATGAGTTTTAAAAATAGTTTATGGTGTAAAGAAAGGAAATAAATTGTCCAGTCAAATATGTAGAAATCATTTGGATACACACATTTGCATTAAATCCTCTAATTTAGAAATATCAAAATTCATCTGGAAGGGACAAAAAAAAAAAACTTTATAGAAAGAAAAGCTTGTATTTTGATTTTCTTCAATAAAGAGAAGAAATGATTGTTGTTTTTTTTTTTAAAGTTTATGCTTATTTTTATGCATATAAAAATAATCTAGGGGCTTTAAAAACAGACATTTTAAAAGTGTATATAAATACAGGGGGGGGCAAGAATAAGAAAAAATGTTGTAAAGCAGTGGATTTAAAAATATAACAACAACAAAAAAAAAAGAAAGAGAGAGGGCTAACCTTTCAGAACCAATAAAAGACAAAACAAATATATGCACAATGGCTAAAATAAGGGAGAAGAAAATATTACCAGAGAATCAACACTTACAGAGAGAAGGCTGCTTAGACTTAATATAAATGAGGTGTGTGTGTTTTAAATTTTAATTTCTTAGATGTATTTAAATAAATGTTTTTTTTTTCTAAAATTGCCCCTTAATTTCAATAAAACTGAAGCCAAATAAACCTTACTGTGTAGAGAAACACACAGTAAAGATGTTACATTTGCTTATATAAAGTATTTGCTTACTATCCATCCCAAGGGATGATAATTCCTTTTCAGAAGGAACAATGTGTGTGTGTGTGTGTGTGTGTGTAAGTGGATTTTAGGGGAGCATAGCATTGCACAAGTCCAGAACTCCTCTAGGACCCAGCACAATTGGTGGGGGAATTGCCATGCCAAGCTTCAGTATGAAGGATTGCTTTCTTGTATTTTGTACTTCATGGCACATATAATAAACCTTACCTTGACATACTGAACCCATGCTTTAGAAAAAGTTTTTGAATTTAGTTTTCCTTCTCATAAACCGATAGCTCTATCAAGGCTAGAAATCCCAGTCTGTCCTACTGTGTCTCCATGTCTTACTATGGAAACAAATAAAGTAATGGATTCACCCCTTTCTCAACCTTTAACATTACACACACATCCAACTTTTAAGTAAATAATATGTAGTAGATAAGTGGAGGATTTAATGTTGAGATCTGGTACAAGGCCACAATATTGGAGCACACAGTGATGACAGCTTATGAAACAAGAGATAGATAGGTAAATCTCACTCCATAGTGTGTACATTTAGATACCAAGCTTCGTCTGGTACAAAGCTACAACAGCAGAGCACTCAATGATTGAACTTGGTATATATGGCTTGCTAACTACCACTCTAGGGTAGGCATCCCCACAAAAACAATGGAGCTTATTTAGATAAGTCTAAATTGCTCAGTGTTAATATTATTACTGAAACAGAAAAATAGTGCCCATGTTTTAAAAAAGAAAAAAAAAATCTCTTTGCTGTCTCACTTTGTCAAATTTTAATTTAATAACTTTGAAGCATGAGCCATTGGGAGTAAATATTATTCATTTTGTTTTTAATACAGTACTTGAACAATGCTTTTAAACTCTTTGGCATCAAATTCACAATTGAAGCAAGATGAAAAACTTAGTGAAACAAGGCTTGACTTGAGGCTGAAAGTTCTCTATTTTTTCTGGGTCCCAAAGTTGGTGGCCAAGCTTGGCTATTGAATGCCGATTTTTAAGAGGCAGGCAAGCCTTCATTTCACTGTATTAAACTGTGTGTGTCTTGTAGCCTGCTTGGTGGCTGAGATAGGCATGTATTTGCTATTGATTAGTGTTTGAGCCTAGGTAAAAAACTCGGGTTTCAAAGTTTAGTTAATAATAGCAACATATCAAAACAATAAGGAAATAAACATTTTTTTTTTTAATTGCCATGCATAAGTCAAGAATAGAACAATAAGGATTCTTCAGAAACTAAAAAGCATTGCTGGAAAGGAAATTGTAGTCTTTAAAAAAAAAAAAAAATGACAAAAAGTAATGATGAATTTTCTTATACCTGGTGGTGTAAGAAAATAAACTCTTAGGCTATAAGTAAGGAAGGTAAAATTTTAAATGTCTGGTTTCAGATATATTAGTAATATGACAACATAATGAGAATTATGGTTGCTTTATCTAACTTTGAACCAAGATAATTTTTTAAGAAATGATAATAAAAGTGAAAGATGACAGAAAGTATAATAATAATAATGAAAATAAAATAAAAACAGAAGTTGAAATTAAAACTGAATTAGAAGATGCCAAAATAAATACTGAAAACACTGTATTAAATGAGAATATTATTAGAGAATGAATTTCAACTTAGCATTTAGAACTTTGATCACACTATCAAATAAAAAGATAATGATAATTTCAATTGATCAGTTTTTGCTATTCAGTAAATTCTTTAAATTAAGTTTGTTAATGGATTTCTTTTTTTCTTTCTTCTGTTGGGCTGGCAACCAACCAGCTAGCAAAGGAAAAAGTTATCGGACCAGACTCTGTTGATCTTTATCTTAAACTGGCAGAAAAAGGTCGTTTGATGGTGGAGAAGTACCTGAATCTAACGAGACCTCTCTATTTTGATTTCACTCACCTTGTTTGCCGAACTGCAGTTGATGGTAGGTCAATAGACAACCAACTTTCTGCTTCATCATTTCCTTCAATTTTTTTTTTTTAAATCATCCATCCCATCATATGAGTAGAAGTGGGTGGGATAAGTTTATTATTGTATTTGTTTTGTATTATCTATTTGAAAATGGCTCAGGACCTTTTAAAATAATATATATATATATATATATATATATGTCTAAATTATCTTATAGTTTACATGAGGTGAAACAAAGGTTCATGTATAACTATAAGGAGTTTTTGTCTATGCTTTGTTTAGGGAAAGAGGGTTAAGAATTTTCCAGTCTTCAAAATCAATATTGAAAACGACTTTTTACATGGACTTGCATCTTAAACACCGAGAGGAGATATTTAGCCATAAGGCAGGCCACCAATTTCACTATTGAAAAAAATCAATACAGTAAATGTAAAGGCTGAATTTGTTCATGATTCTACTGGTACTAATATGCTCAGCTTAAATCCAAATTTAAGGTACCTAGTAACTCAATTCATTATTCAGTAGTCGAACTATTATTCCATGGCAAGGAGCCTCTAAGTTTAGTTTAATATAGTACAAAAATCAGATTGTAGGGAAGGTATTAAAAGAATTATGGAGAAGACCTGCTCATTTTGAAAATAGATATCAGGAATTAGATGCCCCATGGATGAAGTTTTAGTTATTGTATAATTTACAATTTGCTAATTACATATCTGACTTATTTCTATGTTAGACTAATCTTATAAAAAAATCTGATACTGTAGTTACATTAAAATTGTCCATTAAAATTGTTCTATTTTTTTACAAATACATACAACAGAATACCGGACAAATGTAATTTATACAAACATTTTAATATTTTAAAAATTAAAATGGATATGAAATATCTTAAAACATAGATCTACACAAACGGTGTACAAACTTTCATTCTTTATCATCTCTGCAAAGTAAATATGCAAATTTCCTGTTTGCATGAAGGGAAGAACTATCTTACAAGAGACTAACACTATTATAAGAAAAGCGATGAGCCATGTAGGTTTTAGTAAACCAAGTTAAAAAAGAAATAAATTCAACCTTTTATTGTGACTACTAAACATTTTTGATTCTCTTCAGATGAAGCAGTAGATCGTAAAGATCTCTCCCATCCAATCCATGCAGACAACTGTCTGCTACAGCCAGATGGAACCTGTTTGAAAGAGGTGCCAGCCTATATTCAGAGAGATTACAGGTAGAAGCTTCAGTTATTTTTTTTTAATTCTTTCTCCTGTTATTATTGCTTCAAGACATAAAAAGATCTGTCAGTATTATGTATGTTTTGGACTATTATTTTCATCTTTGCCTCTCCCCCACATTTAGGGATGATACACGATTCCATTTTGACTTGTATTTCTTTCATCACAACTATTCAAAATATCAGTCTTTGACCATCAGCAAACAGTGTGGATCAAAAATAAAGACATTTGCTAATTTGTTTTGGTCATAGACTGATGGTTGTCATAAATAATAATGAAAATTAATATGAAAGTAATGTTAATAAAAAATTAATGGTTGACAATGCTTCATCCAATAAAAAATTAAAATTGCAATAACCCTTTATCAGCTGTGCATTACATCAGGTTTCTTTATATTTGTCTCAGATTCATTCGAAACTTAATTTGACACATCTGAAATGGGACTTTGGATATAAATATAATAAAACTTGGTGAAGCATCACTCAGCTTTTAAACTAATTTTTTTTTTTTTTAATTAAGCTAGTTTTATAGGAAAAAAAAACTAATTTAAAAAAAATCTTTTTATATAGGTACCTTCATGAGATCGCTAAAAACAGAGCATAGCAGGATGAAAAAGATGCCAAACTTGACGAAAACAAAATTTTATCGTCTAAATGTTTATGCTATTATTAAGAGGAAAGATCAAAGTATTTTGGGGGTATTTTTTTTACATTTTTTTTAATCGTTTCTAGCACGTCAAAAATTTTCGTTAAAAATCTTTTTTTTTTTTTTTTTTGAGTCAGCAAAATTGACCATTTTTTTCCATTTTATAAAAAAAACTGGAAATCTCATTTTGAAATTCTTTTAAATATCAATTATCATTTTTTCAAAACTTATTTTAAGAAAATCAGAAATTATAACGTTTATTTAAAATATTTTGAACAAAGCTTAACTTAGCTTCTGTGCCGAAAAGATGTAATTTGAAAATAAAACAAAGCCGGTCATAAACTTCTGCGTCACTTGACAGGTGATGAATGACATATTGACAGATTCCGTGAGGCTAATTTGTTCTATGGAAGGAGAAAAGTGAAATAATTTACATTTAAGTGAACAAATTATTTACTTCGTTATTTTTAAGGAAAACTTTCAGCACTCTAATTTTTTTTTTGTACTTAGCTTTCACCTTTATGTTTACGATGCTTTATGGAAAATATATTATAAAGAAATTAAAATAAGACTGTTAAGAGTGAGATTAAATTTCATAAGGTATCTAATTAATTTATAGGTACCTTTCTTATGAAATTTTATCAGAGGTGTACATAAAACACTATAATTTTATGTACATTTATTACATTTTGCTGTGTTATTTGTATTTCTATTCATTTTATTATTAATTTTGATATTTTATTTATGGAAAAATGTCATAGCTGAGATTAATATAAAAATAAGATCATATAAATTTCATAAGATGATACTGATACTTGTAGGTACCCTTCTCAGTTGAAATTGAAAAATCAAATTAACTTCACACATGTTTCGCAAAAATAAATCTATATAAATGTAAAAATCTATTATAATTAAAGAAATAACATAATTGTATTAAAAATTCAGTATTTAAATTAAATACTAGATAATAACTCAATCCACGTGACGTTTTTTTTTTTTATTGCGTGCATGATACTTCCAGTCTTCTATAGATTTGATTTACAGTGTTATTATTGACACAAATTATATTTTTTTTATATACTGTTGTTTGTTAGTTTGTAAAAAACTTTGGAAATTATAATCTGTAAATATATAATTAATAACAACATTCGTTAAATTTTACAAATTTAACCCTAATTTTAGAAGAATTAACAACATTTAATGTAAAAATAATAAAATATTTCAGAAATAACAAATAATTGTTTTAAAAATTCATTTTTCATTGAAATATCTTTTTGCTTTCAGACAATATTGTCCATGTTCATTGAAATAAATAAAAGCAATTAAAAGCTTTTGAAATTAAATATTTTTGTTTTATTGAGTTTTGTATGTTACAATTCAGAGGCGATTTTCAGGTAGAGGTGGTCCAACTAAAAAAAAAAAAAATGATTTGGTTTCCTCAAAGCCTTGTACTTTTAACTAATATAATTACTAATATTCCACAAATTGAAATTATAGAGTTTTCATACAATATTTCTGCCATGACTTCAATAAAAAAAAAAAAAACATTTATAATAAGTTCCATTATTTGTGAATAGTTTCTGAAAGTTTCATTAAAATCTGACAATTACTTTTATTTTTGCAAGATTTTCCAAATTAATGTGTGTCATACAGAAATAAAATGTGCTAAAATTTTATGTTATTTTACTAGTTCTCGTGATACAAAGAGAAACAAGGTTTTTTTAATCAAAATTTAGAACGTTCTAAAAAGAAGGAAAATTTTTTTAAAATAATTAAAAACAAACTGATCTTTCCTCTCAATAATAACATAAGCATTTAGATGCTAAAATTTTGTTTTCATGAAGTTTGGTGTCTTTTTCATCCTGCTATGCTCTGTTTTTAGTGATCTCATGAAAGTACCTATACAGTGGTTTGCAGATAAATCTGGAAAAATGAATAAAAACAGAAGATACAAAAATCACTCGATGTGAACACCATTGGCAGCCACCACTTTCATCAGATAGGACTAGAAATTTGGCAATGGCATTTCTGATGGCTACCTTGAGAGCCTCCTTGCTATTGTAGGGCTTGCTATTCACCACTCTCTACAAGATGCTACACACAAAATAGTCAAGAGGATAGCGAGGGGGTGGGGGATAAGTTGAGTGACCAGTTGTATGGTGAGCAAGTGGTGTCTCTTGGTGTCCATTTCCTTGGCAATTTTCCTTATGCTTTTATAGGGGTTCTCCTTAACACCCTTGTCAATAAACTTGGGCATCCTGGTAGCACTAGAGTGCTTATGAGTCTTGAATTCTGGCCTGAAATTGTCTTTGACTGAGGCCCCATATGCCTTTGCAAGATAGTAGACCATGGTTTTAGGGTAGTTAAAGCATTCAATGGTTTCCTTGGCTTTGTGGCCAGCATGAAAGCTCTCCACAGCAGCAGCTCAACGATTGTATTCTGAAGACATGTCAATTAAAGCACCTCATGCATTAATCACTAGATGGCTACTTTGGTATGGTACCTTTTTAATGACATTCTTGAAACCTTGCTACTCTGTGATGTCATGGTGCTGTTGCCATGTAAAAATTCTGGATTTATCTGTGCCACACACACATTATATAATTAACTATCATTGATCAAAATATGCACTACACACAACCTTTTTGTAAAGTCATACTAGATATATGGTTGGGAAGCGAAAGTCTGCAGAGAAATTACTTATTCTTTCTTTTCAAATTTGGCAACATATTTGAGTGGTACCAAAATATTTTTACACTGGTCTGGCTTAGTGAGATGTAACTTATGTTTGGATCCCATAAATGAAGTTAATATATATTATGAAAATACAAATTATCACTCAATCTTTTCTTGAAAAAGAAATATTAAAATTATTTGGGTTTACAAAGCCCAATTTAAATTTTGATAGGAACAATTATTCTTTTTCAAGAACTAAAAAAAAAAAAAAAAAAAAAAAAGAAGAATGTCACAACACTTTTTACCAAAGAAATAGAGAAAACTGAGTCACACTGCATGTTTCCCCTTGGCACACTCATCTCAATTTGTGATTCTCTCATTTTAAAGACTTAAAAAAAAAATATTTATTCTTCCAGTGGAATCATTTACCTGAATCAGGAATTTGATGGTGGTGAATTCATCTTTGCATATCCAAACAAGTCAGAACAAGTAAGAAAATGTTTTTTATTTTTTTAAATTTATTTATATATAACACACACATACCTTGACTTATTCAATTTCAGTCAAGCACCCTCCAGCCATTATTTTGCCTGATGTGGGATTTCTTGTACATGATTTTGTTCCTGTAATGCAGTTTCTTGTTTATTTCTGCTGAAGATGGTCAGAGGGTATTTAGCTGAAGCATTGTCTATAACAAGATCTATAACAATTAAAAGATAAGAACAGTATAAATAAATCAAAGTACAATAGAAATTCCTTATCAAGAGAAAAAAAAACAAAAAAAAACACCAAAATATAAAGTCACTTTCAGTTTTCAAATTGTCAGGTTTCTAAAGTGTAGGGAAGGAAGATCTATTGTTCACATAACTGAAAAAGACCCACCGGATGTTCATAAAGAGAATGAAAATCAATGCCACAATGAGAAATGAACTTTCAATAATTTTGTCCTTTATTCAAGGATTCACTTGTACAGTCAGAGAGTAGATAGGTGACATTTGAGACAGACAGTACTTCCTTTTAACTAGCAAGAACAAACTCTGCTACTACCCTTCTGTTCACCTCTATATCATAATGCCCAACTGCCAATTCTAACCATTGAGATAGTCCCATATTGCCTGTTAGTCTGTCATTTCCAATGGGTGATCCAGAACTACCATTAATTCTGTGGTTAATAAAGCCTGCAAATGGAAATCTCCAAAATCTAGACAAGTGTCATTTAATCCCAAAAGCTTTCATTTATTTATTTTATTTCTTTTTGGTTAATTGAGTGACTGTCCTGAAGTTTTCATTTCACAAACTCCAATGCTGGTAATAAGAAAAAAAAGACAATTAAAACTAAGATAAAATCATTTACCATCTTCTATGTGGGTGTCCTGTAGTGTCACATAATCAAGACAAAATATAAATTCTTCACCCAGACAAGTGCTGTCAATTTAGTGTTGTAGTTGAAATTATGCACAATTTCATTCATTATAAACCATGTCTGACATTTTAAAGTAATATAACTTTAAGTGTTTGAAAAATTCTTTTATTTTTCTTGATATAGGATTTTCTTTGTACAAATTTTAATTAGGTATATTATATATAAAAAAAAACAAAACAAAAAAAAAACAAAACACCGTGAATAATTCTATCTAGATTTTAAAACAAATTTTAGGTTGGACATTCCAAAATACAATGGGTAATTTTTTTCTTGAATTTATTTACAGTTCAGGCTATTAAATACGAGTTACTGCAGAGAATAAATTAAATCAGAAAAACAACAAAAGCAACACAAAATTAAAGCTTATCCATAATGGAAGAGAGGAATGTTAACCAGATAAACAATTAATAAATTTAAAATATTTAAAATAGAGGTGGCAAATTAGGGTGAGAATTATAAACATCAGTAGAAACAAAGCGAAATAGGTTTGTGGTGGTAGGTATACATGATTTACAAAAGAAAAACTCTTTGCTTCTATATCCTGCAGGTCATATTCTAAATTGCTGTAAATTTGTGTTATATAACAAATGGTTAAGAAGTATAAAACTATCACAAAGTTGTCATACTAAAAACGTTCTTTTTCAAGTAACATTTTTCTTAATGAGAATGTTAATATTTTTCTTTTTGAATTGTAGACTTCAGTGAAGCCCAAATGCGGACGCTTGGTTGGATTTAATGCAGCTGACTTGCATGGAGTAAAAGCAGTTTTGAAAGGCCAAAGATGCTGCCTTGCAATGTGGTATACGCAAGACCCTAATTTTAAAGAACTCGCTCATAATCAAGCACAAAAAGTATTGAAGGTAGTGCATGCTGAAGTGGAAGCTGAAGAAAATGATGAAAAAGATAATGAATCACAAACCTCAAAAGAGGAAGGACGGACAGAAACCAGTTCCAAAGATACAAAATCTGAGGACATTTTAGGCCACAGTGATGAATTATAAAAGTTGTAGATGATTTAAAAATGTGTGTGTGAGAGTGAGCGAGTGAGAGAGAGAGAGAGAGAGAGAGTTGTGAGTTTTTTTTTTTCCTTCAATGTTTGTGGGAGGGGGCATTGAATTTCTTGTTTTGGAGAAAATTTTACTGCTATAAACATCAAGTAAATATTTGCATTCGGACCAAATACGTTTACATACAGATATCTGTCGTATATAGATATTCTTTAAGCAGGTGGAGCAGGGTGGTATATCTGGTAGAAAGCCAATTATTAGTAAGAAGCATGAGGTATATCTGTCTTGAAATTTGGTACTAAATGTCCAGGCCTATTGATAAAAAAAAAAAAAAAATTATAGGTTTCTACCTGTAACCCCTTAACACCTACTGTCCCAAAAATGGGATGGTGGGTTCTAATGAATTGGCTTTGCTTTACTGTATATTCTTTTTTCCAAGCAAATTTGTAGTTTTTAATGACAAAAAGCAAACATATACACCCGTTTGTTTATAGATAAAATATAGTGCAATTGTGTTTGTATTTTAGTTAAATATAATCTTATAGACCTTGTCATGATCAAAAGGGTCAAAATCTCAGCTTAAGATAATATTTCTTATACCCAGGATGATTATAAAATAAAAAGGTCACATTCTCAAGTCTTTTGCTATGTTGGTTACCATATAAAAATTACTTTTTATTATTAATCTTGGTATTTAAATGCTATCAACGAATCTTAAAGAAATCATTCTCCATAATTTTGTTTGATTTTGAGATCAGAAATTATTTTTCATTTGTCTATTTGAAGCAGCATACACAGAACAGCAATGTTCATAATGGTTTGAGAATTTTGAATTGAACCCTTTACTCAGTACACAGGGGGTGGACTGAAATCATTCCATTGCTCATGTTGGGTGGGTGTAGATCTTGTATCAATATTTGTCTGTTATTGCTTTTGATTTTTGCCATTAAACTAGAGTATATAACTAATTGCTTAACACAAGAAAGCAAAAGTGGGATCACTAAGAAAAAAAAAAATTAAAAATGTGATATCTTCTGGTATGAACAATCAAATAAGGATAATCTACTCCTTTTCAAAATTCTCAAACATTTATAAAGATACACTTTAAGCCAAAAGATTGGGGACCCCCCCCTCTGCATTTAATAATTAAGTTTCATACCTTCTTTGGTTTAATTAACTCCTACTAATATAGGATGCTGAAACTATTTAACCTATTAATGTATGGTATCAAATGTTTAAAAGAGGGAGGTTACCTAAACTCTGCTAGCCCTAAAATTACCATTAGCTAGTAAGGTACATTTAGGCAAAAAAGAACTAAAATTTTAAAGAAACTTTAGACAGTAATGGGTTAATTTTTATTATTATTGAATATACGCTAAAACCCTACAGGAGAAGTTTTCTCTGGCATGAAGTGATCTAGTAAATTCATTTTGAAAAAGACACGCAACCTTCAATTTTTAAGAGTTTCTTCAAAATCTGGAGGGTATCTAAAACTTTTGGCCTGTAGTGTAGATCAAAGTACCTGATTGAATTACTGGTTTTTTTTTTCAGTTTTCTCCTAAATATTTATGAGGGGAAAAATGAAAAGGTGAAGCTTAGAATAATACAAAATAATTAAGCACTGAGTATGGAAGAAAGGAAAAAGTTATGAAAACTGTTTAATATCAGGTGAAAAGAGGGACCACTATTCAAAATGCTACTATTACATGTTGTAATGCAGAAATGTTTGTTTATCAACCCATTAACTGAAACAGAAATTTATCATTTGCAGTTGAGCCATAAAATTGTAATAACAAATTCCTATCATTCACAGTTAATAAACAATCTTTCTGTAATAATGGTACTATTTGAATAGTGGCTTCTTTTTCACAAATAATTTCTTTCATCTAATATTTTATGCTGAATGCCAGATTTAAGATTCTGTTATTTAAAGAAAAAAAAATCAGAAACTGGTTAAATTTAAGCACAGAAAATTAGTATTTTTAGCAAAGTGAAATACTTAAAAAGTTTTTTTTTTTTTTTTGCAAGATCATAAAATTTAAGAATTGTTCCAAATGCTCTTGACTGTCAAACTGATCTCTTATCTAAATATTTACAAGTTCAAAATCAAAATGCTAGATGTGAAAAAAAAAATAAAATAAACCTTTCACATCAAATTAAAAGAAAAAAGTTTTAAATGGACACATATATAAGTAAATCTGGAAGTCTAATTTTTGGAGATAAAATTTTATTCCATGAAGCTTGGGTTGGTCAGTTATTGTCTGAGAGATATGAAATAAATGCCGGTAATTATGGACTTGGTATTAGTCTGAAAACATATTTGGTCAAATTCTCCAAAAATTTGATAACATTCCTTAAAAAAAAAAAAAAAAAAAAAGACTATCAAAAATTACATTTATGTAATAAAACTTAGATATGTTGGTAATCAAATAAATTTTGCCCTTGCAATATTTTAATATTTTTCCTGAACATTGGCTGATTAGATTTTAAACTTTCAACTGTATCAGTTCAGCAGATATTCTAAGGACCTAATGTTAGATTAGGCAAGTTTAAGTGTAAAGTGACTTGTAAAATTTTGTTATGACAGTAATTGAGTTATGTAGAATAAAAGAAATATTTTTCAATTTAGATAAAAATTATTTTAGACAATTATTAACAAAATGTCTTTTCTATAAATATTAGAAAAAAATGCAAGAAAAAAATACAAAATAAACTGAAAACTTGGTTTAAACCATAGTGTGATCAATTTTGCTTGGTTTAGCAATAAATTACTTTTAGTAATTTAAAATTATTAATATCTGCAGCAAATAAAAATACATAAAAATTAATTTACAAATATTTCTTAGGGAAAAAATTCCTTTAACTAAAGTCAATTTTAAAAAATTCATACTGTAAATGTGTTTTTGAATAAGTTGTCATCTATTTAAAATGTAGTCATGAATTTATTTTCAGTGGAATGAAAGTATAAATGTATTAGTTTTTTTTATTAAACACCCATTAACACCTGACATCTTACTATAATTTGAATGTTCTAAAATATATGTAAGTTTTTGATATTACATAAGTTGAAACCAAAAATCCTCAAGTGAAAGCTTAATTCAGGTTGGTATCTTTCATTACCATCTGAATTTCAACACTATCAAGTTAAAAGTATGACCTACTTTTTGTTTAGTTGCATTTTAAAAATGTTCGTTTAAATACTTGGAATGTCAACTTATATCCCAATATTTATATAAATTTTACTAAGATTCTATGTAATGCATTTTTTCCTCTAAAAGAACTCCAGTCTAAAGCAATGTTCTTGTTGAAGAAAATTTGAAATTGAAAATTTTTAAATTTAGCATTTCCCCTTGGTATATAATTAGAACAGATATTTACACCTATATCTCACCCTCCCCACTACCCATATAATTCCATCAATAAGGCCATTAATTTAGTCTCATGAAGTCCTTTTGGAGGATGACACACATTGCATTGAATTTTTTCTACTTTGTCATTAAATTACCAAATGTGTTCTGATACATAGAAATTTATAAAGGGGTTGCAAAAGTAGGTATACAGCAATGAAACAAATGCAAAGAGTTTTTCATTACTGTATACCTACACCCTACTGTATATCAGATTCTCCAATATTTTAGTAAAACAAATTTTAAATTATTTAAATAACTTTATGCTAAAAAAAAAAAAACACAAAACATTTAGACTTCAAACTGATGATTTAAATTAGTTTATTTGTGACTAATAACAGATTTTTTTTCTTTTTTAAAAAGGTTAATATTTGACATTTTTATTTTACTGACAATCATTTTTTTTAGTTTATCATTAAACTCATTTTCAAGCAGCTGAGATTAAATTGATTTTTTTTAAGATGGTTCCTGTTAAAACAAAAAAAAAAAAAGGACACCATTTTAAACTTTTCTTTCAGAATAAAAATGTACTTATTTGTGTACATTTTGTAAAAATTGAATTTATTTTCATTTGCTGTTTATTTAAAATCTGTTATGGAAAAAGAAAAAAAAGATATCTACTGTCTTAATATCTGCAGTTTATCCCAATGTATTTCCATGACAATTCCATTGTTTAAAACCAAAACACTCCCTTCTTTTGAATCAATAATAGTCAAGACTGACTTAAGAAGCTGTGTGAGTTTCTGTAACAATTTACTATGATTGGGGGAAAAAAACCTGGTAGGTAATGGAAGCTCACATGACATTCATTTAAATAAAGAGAAAGGGAGTCCCTATACCCAAATTCCTGTGGAATGATAAAATGGACAATCTCAACTCCCTAATCATCCAATTTCATTCCTTCAACTTAGCTTTAAAAGATTTAAATCAAACTTTGATCATCTTTATATGATTTAATATCACTTTCCAGTGTGGTCAGTTATTTTCACTGACTAAAAAAACAAGTGGTTACATCATTGAAAGATTAATAGGGCCTAACTTAACCTGTTGAACCCTGACCAACTTGCTGATATCAAATCTCTAGATATTTAGGTACATTTCATTATTTTAGCAGTGAAGAGCAGCCAATGGCTGGTACAAAGTTGCTCATAGAAACAGCCTTATTCTACTTACATGTTAAGCTGTAGAATTCTTTTTGGTGATTAGACACCAGAATATTGTACTGGTAAATCAGTACTTCTAAAGTTGATCAGATTGTATAAATTAATATTAAAAGATTCAAAATAAATTGAATTTTCTTTTAACTTTTCTCCATCATTGATGTGTACTGTGTTTGATTTAATAGTGCAAGGGTTAGCAGACTCAACTCATCTGAGTTTGTTCCTTATTTGGAAAAATAATAAATAAATTGAAACAGCTACTGTGTGTACTGGGACTTTAAAATGAAGTACCTACCAAGTTTCTATTTATATTTTTGTCAAAATTACATATGTAATATGTTTAATCATGTCCTTCATGTTTGTACATATCTTTGGAAAATTTTTTTTTTCTTTAATGAAAATAAAAAAAAATGTTTTGCAAATCAAA